CTACCATGTCCTTAATTGTCATTAATTGTCCTCATGTCAAAATTGAGTACTTAGGATTCATGCTTCTCCATTCTTACGATGCTTTACTAAGAATAATGTGTTCCACTTCTATCCAACTTGGTACATAGGATGTCAAGTCTCCATTTCTTTTAATGGCTGAATAGTATTCCATGGTGTACACATACCACTGCTTGTTAATCCATTCCTGGGTTAATGGGCATTTAGGCTGTTTCCACATTTTGGCAATTGTAAATTGAGCTGCAATAAACAGTCTAGTTTAAGTGTCCTTATGATAAAAGAATTTTTTTTTTTCCTTCTGGGTAGATAGCCAGTAATGGGATTGTAGGATCAAATGGGAGGTCTAGCTTGAGATCTTTGAGGATTCTCCATACTTCCTTCCAAAAAGGTTGTATTACAATAGTTTGTAGTCCCATCAGCAGTGTAAAAATGTTCCCTTTTCTCACATCCATGCCAGCATCTGCAATTTTGAGATTTTGTGACTTGGACCATTGTCGCTGGAGTTAGGTGGTATCTCTGGGTGGTTTTGATTTGCATTTCTCTAATAATTAGGGATGATGAGCATTTGTTCATATGTTTGTTAGCCATTCGTCTGTCTTTAGTGAAGGTTCTATTCATGTCTCTTGCCCATTAAGATATGGGATTGTTGTTTTTTTTCATGTGGATTGATTTGAGTTCTCTGTAGATCCCAGTTATCAAGCTTTTGTCTGATTCAAAATATGCAAATATCCTTTCCCATTATGTAGGTTGTCTATTTGCTTTGGTTGTTGTCTCCTTAACTGTACAGAAGCTTTTCAATTTAATTAAGTCCCATTTGTTTATTTTTGTTGTTGTTGCAGTTGCCACAGAAATCTTCTTCATAAAGTCTTTCCCCAGGCCGATATCTTCCAGTGTTCTTCCTATACTTTCTTTGAGGATTTTTATTGTTTCATGCTTTAAATTTAAGTCGTTTATCCATCTTGAATCAATTTTTGTGAAGTGGAGAAAGGTGTGGGTCCAGTTTCAGTCTTTTACATGTGGATATCCAGTTCTCCCAGCACCATTTATTGAATATAGAGTCTTTCCCCCAAGGTATGTTTTTGGTTTATTGAAGATTAGGTGGTTGT